TAACGTCTCTTTTAGCTTTGTCTTGGTTCCCTGTCCTGGTTCCTTTTACAACTGGAAAATCTGAGTAAAGAGTTCTCCATACTATTCTTCTATCTTTTCACTAAGCTTCAAATTATTTCAAATAGCAAGACACAGAAAGCACAAAAAGAAACATCACACTTAGCATGTCAGGGAGGAGAAGGGATTATGTGCTGGACAGTGTCTGTCCAGAGCACGCACGCTCACATACTGTCACAGTGCTGCGTCAGGGAAAAGAAGGGGTAAGTAAAATGCTTTATGTCTTGAGTTTCTAAAGCACTGGATAAGACCTAAAGTAAATAACCTAAAAGCCGGTCAGTGAAATACCACTTTTCATGATCTTTTGGAAAAAAAGCAGATATTAAGGAAAATAACTGAGGAAAAAAAGCATTAATAAGGAAAAAAAGTTTTAAAACCAACGGGTCCTAAGGCTATAGAATGGTTTTGTGGTTTCCATGCGTGACCCACAGGACAAGCTCAAAGGCTGGAAAACAGAATCTATGAAAGCTGGTGCTTATGCCACCTCTAGTCATCCAGATGACGTCTACTTCTCACACCTACTCCACGGGTCACCTCCTCCATAAAGCCTCAACGCCTCCCCACCCACCTTCCTGACTCCTCCAAGACACCCTGGCAACCAGAGGGCCCGTCCCTCTGTGAGCTCGTGAGGCAGGGATCTGAGCCTCTGCTGGGAAGCTTCATTTCTAGGTTTCCATAGTTGACTCTGCCAACGTGCCTTCCCTCCGCTGTATTAAGCTGCACATTGCGTACAGGGACCAAGCCTCCCAACCATCCTTGTTTCTTCAGCACCTGAGACAGCACCTAAATACGGGGACCCACAAGTTTTCACCATGGTCCTAAGTAACTAATGTTAAGTAATTTAAAATGACTACAGCACCCCCTTTCAAAGCACTAACACATACATCACATTTTTTTAAAGATCTCTACCCACGCCCCCATCAAACATTTAACATTTTCTAACACTTAAAGGGCAAACAGCTGAATGGAAAGAAATCACAGCGCACCAGAACTCACTGCCCAAAAAGACTCTAGAAAGGTCAGGCTTTTTACTACACTCAGAGTTCAAAGAAGAGATGTATCAACTTTCACTAATGCTAAAAAGATGGCTCATTTTAAATCTGGAAGGAAACACAACCACCAAAATTTTGGACTCTTTAAAAGACGAGCAAATACCTCTTCAGGCCCAGGAGCAGCCTGGGGGGCAGTAACCTCCTCTAACTCATCTTCAGCAACACAGTCTTCCTGCTCTGGCAGCCCCGGCTGCCCGCAGGCCTGCAAGTACTCTTCATCCTAACAGCCATTAAAGAGAAAATAGGGTTTTCTCATAGAGCTTTGGGTTTTTAAAAGCACTTTTCATCATGACTCATGCTTAATTATTTTAGCAGCTTTTACTATGACAATCGCCTGACTAGGCAGAAAGCGCCCCGCACAAACACAGGACGTGCCCTCCCCTGTGTTCAAGAGAACAGAGGGCGGTATGCTGGCCCGGCCGCTGAGGTTAGTGGCATAGCTGCTTCAAACCCAAGCGCCCTGACAATTAGCGCAACTTAAAACAAGCACGAAGGAAAAGTCCTCTTAAAAAGGGCGTGCATATGCTCACACAGCGCAGCTCAGCGGCAGCAAGGGGGCCGAGATCATGCCAAACCCGAACCAGCAACAGAAGGCAACAAAAGTATGAACCATTCAATTCAACACAAGAGCTTTATCAGCAATCACATTAGAATCTGTTTCTCCGTCAGTCCATGCCTTGACTTAGAGGGGTGACTCCCGCTTCGTAGGAAATGTAAGGGGCACGTCAGCAGGCAGGCGTCCCTTGAAGGGCATATGGAGGGAGGCAGATGAGCTGTCTAAAGACCACTCAAGAGAAAGAAGGGCTTCTACAGACAGCACTAACAAGGAACAAGGACATCTGATCCTCCGCAGGGAGCTGAACTTCCCAGCGGCCCTGGTCACTGGCTGAAATCACCGTGGGTGGCACGGACAGAGTCTGAACATGCTACCGCGGGGCAGACAAGGGCCGCACCTCGAACGCCCAAGGAAAGCAGCTGCATTCAAGGTGACAAACCATCTTACATCCCACAAATGTCTCTGAAGACTATGTGAACACACTGCATTTTACTCTCGAGAAGAAACTGTTCGCATCCTATCAAGAAGAGAAACCGCCACTACCCTCAAGTCACTGACAGCACAACTGTCAGATTTCAGAGGAGGCCCGACGGCACTACTCAAAATTTCCAGGTAACGTACAATGGAGCACAGTCTGTGTCGCTGGATTCGCACCAGGAAACAACAACCTGCTACCCTTCACATAAATTATCGATATGAAATTGTTTTTACAGAACAGCGTTTTAAGAAATCTCAATCCATGTTCATTTCAAAGGTTCTAAATGGATTATGCTTAAAAGTATAAATCACCCAACAATTTTCTAGTATTTTGTTAAATAAAAAAGCGATATAAATCTTTTCTTAATACGAGAGTACAAGTTTTTAAATCAAATCCCAAATCACTCTCGAGAACAGCAATGGTGAAATGATAAAACCTAAGGAACGTCTTACTACTGAGCGTGACAGGAGAGAACACTGAGCTGTTCCACCAACTTCTAAATGTGGACCTCACTTTCCTCATTAGTAGAAGCCCCTCCCAATTGTAAAATTCTGTGGTTTTATGACTCCACTCCCAGTTAGCCCTTCCATGTGATGTTTAGAGCGAGCCCGAAAAGACCGAATGTGCTCGTGCTCTGCATGTCACAGAGGTCAAGTCTAGCCTGGGAATTAATGCAAGTTAACAAATCCTAACTAGGACATGACATGAACCACAGTGAAATAAACCCTTTCATCAACTAAAACACCACCGGGACACACAGGTAGGCAATCTACTCCTGCATTTGTTCATCTAATCGCGAATGCACTGTGCACCACTGCCGACCTGGCGGCCCCTCGCGGCGGGGGTGGGAGAAGCATGCCGCACGGTTCAAGGCCATCTAGGTCCTCCATCCAAAGCAAAGGTAATGCCAGACTCCACCATGATAACTATGCAGAAACCAGCAATTTTAAAAACACAGGGAAGAGAGAAAAGAATGGCCACGGCTATAAATCCACAGGTAGAGGTACGGGGGGGTGAGCTGGCCCTGTTCACAGGACACTTCCCTACTTCACCTCACCTCACAGGACAGCTCCCTGTGGAAATATCAGGACACTTTCAAAAACTCTAAGCAACATTGTTCATGATTTTTTTTAAATCTTGAGTTGCCACATTTTTTTTTCTTCTTGATACCAGACTCTTAGATGACAACAAGTTGGGTAACTAAGTTGGACTTTATACAACCAGGGGCCTAAATGTAACCTCTGGTTTGACAACGGAACACAAGAGAGAGAAAGTCCTCACTTGTGAGAATTCTCTCTACAACAAGTTCTGCCAGAATGCCACGGTGGGAAATATCTCCTAGGCGGCCAGGCACATCTGTGCTGTCAAGCACTTTCCACACTGATCTGTTCCACCAAATTCTAAGTTCACAGAAGGCAGGGGCCACACTTCATGTCTCATATTTTAGCAAAATTTGTGCCCCCAGTGCCTGGACATCAGTGAAGATTTGCTGAGCTGCTGAATTTACAAGGGAAAAGGACTCACATATGACTAACCAATCATCTTATCTTACCAGCAAATAGCAGGGATAATAAAATGCTCTAACCAAGGGAATAAGTAGGTCCATTTTTAAAAGAGCTTGGCTTAATTTTTAAGTCATTTTAAATGTACAGTAACCCCACTTTCAGACAGTATACAAACACACCAGTAAACCTAACAGCCCTTGTCCACACAGTGAAGGACTTACTACTAAACCCAACTGTTACCGTTATCAAAAGAACAAGTACCCATGATGCCTGTTAGATGCTTTTATTTACCAAAACTACAAGCATTTTTCCATTAAGAGAACGCATTCAAAAAGAATCAAATCTTAATAACTACCGAGATACATAAACACAATCATGATTAGAACTAAATATTCTAAGGTTCCACATAAACAATCCTTCTCAAAATTATTCGCGTTTATATAGACGTATGACCAATGACCAAAATTCAGATTTTGACATTTTTTCTCAAAAGCACACTTCCACTGAATAAAAACATTAAGAGAATAAGGCAACGCTATTACCCCTAACTGTGCACGTCTCCACCGGGTCCTGCCCGGCAGCAGGTGACATGGCCTCTCAGTGGAATTTCAGTATCGTGAAAGCCTGAAGATTCTATGGTGACTATCACGTCCTTCCCACATAGATTTCATTAATGCTAGTTTTAAAAACAAATCTCTCTTAAGGATGAATCACTAAGACAGATGAGCAATCTTCCACTAGCACCTTTTCCTCTCTTGACAGTTCAACTTTTTAAAAAGCTACTTATCAAAACCATCTTTCTGAAATAGAAATCAGCACAATCTCTGCTTCCTGATCACAGATAACAAATTACGTGTGACATTTCCAAAACTAACCTCCAATCTCTTTATTCATGTTTAGACAGTTTTCAGTTACAAAAAAGGATGAATGAACAGGACATCAATCACTGTGGAATATTAGCACCTTAAAGATGTCTTTAGCAGGTCAATAATCTTTTCACCTTGGAAGGACTTTATCAGATCTTGTCTAAAGCCTGGATAAAAGCTCTGCATTAAGTACTTCTAACAATTGACAGTGTATCTGCACCACACAAAGCTGTTTTCTTCCTTAAGGTGCAATCCTCAAGGTCACGTTTCTGTGCAGCCTTCCAGAATGACAAAGGGGCATTACCTCCAGCCAAACAAGCTGTCAACACAAACTTTGTCATAGCTCAGATAAAGAAACTGGCAGACAGTGATAATAAGGTCTAATTTCCCTCCCTCCCGAGGGAGGGAAATAGATTTCAAATCAGTCCAGAAACCCATGCCCAGGCAGCCAGGTTATCTTCGGCCACACAAAGGAAAGAGACTCACTGTGAATTCATCAAGGGGCTCATTGATCTCGATGTCTAACACTTCATCACTGTACAGCTGCCCCTCCTCCGGCTCCTCCACATACTCGATGGGGTCCTCCGTCAGCTCAGCGCCATGGCCTTCGTACTGTCCTTCCTCCGGGTACTCGTGAGCATACAGTTCCGATCCCCCGGACTTGTGATAAACAAGCTCGTCCTCTCCTTGCTCATACTCGGACTCCTGTTCCCCAGACTGGTCGTTCGTGTTGTCAGACAGTTCAAATGACGTGACCATGCCAGATGTGGTGTTCAGACTAATGGTGACACCCTGAGAACTAAAGACAACAAAAACAAAAAGAAAGGTGCCCATCAGAGTGAAGCTCAAAATTAAGTCACTCCATGAACGAATGGTTACAGAGACTTCTAGCATGACTGCTGAAAAGCTGTCCCGGTGACAGAAAGACATACCCTCCTCCGACCCCGACTGCACAGAGCTCTGTGTGCCTGGCTAGGCCCGCAACACACCCCCCTAGGGCGCGCAGCAGCTGCACCATCGTCAGACGCAGGATTCTGGCCCAAAGGAAACAGATCAAGCAGATGGGGAAACAAGTCTGACTGGCAAAACTCTAGGACTGAAAACAAACAGACTGTATTTCATTCTAAATTCCAGGGTAAAAAGGATGGGAACTATTTTCCAAGATACCGAAGTAAAAATGCCAGTATTACTCTAGAAACAGAAAATCACACAAAAAAAGGAGAAGGAAATAAACCACAAGACTCTTAATGATAGAGAACAAACTGAGGGTTGAGGGAGGGGGGTGGGTGGGGGATGGGCTAGCTGGGTGACAGGTACTAAAGGACGGACTTGTTCTGCTGAGCACTGGGTGCTGTATGGAAGTAATGAATTACTGAATTCTACTCCTGAAACCAATATAGTACTGCATGTTAACTAAAATTTAAAAAAACAGAAATTTAAAAATAAAAGATATACAAACTGTTAAAAAAAAAAAAAGGAAGAAAAAAGAAAGAAAATTACAGATGGAATTTTAAGAACAATCTGTTCTTTTTAAATCTCTTATGTAAATTATAAATTTAAAAAATCAAAATATTAAAAATGTGTGTGAAAATATGTCAGTGTTCAAACAAATAAAATTTGCACTAGTCACAACTTCAAAAAAATCAGTTTATAATTTGGGTAAAAGAACACAGAGGGGTTTTAAAACCTCAAAAAAAAAAAAATCAGGGTGCCTGGGTATCTCAGTCAGTTAAGCGTCCAATTCTTGCTTTTGGCTCAGGTCATGCTCTCACTGTCAGGAGACGGAGCCCCACGTCAGGCTCTGTTCTGAGCGTGGAGCTTGCTTGAGAGTCTCCCCGCTCTCCCTCTGCCCCGCCTGCACGTGTATGCACTGTCTCTCAAAAAACTAAAATAAAATAGTAAAAAAATTTTACTCAACCTATTAACTCACAACAGCTGTGTGCCAAACAGTAAGCTCCAAGACAGTACTTGGAGTGGAAAATGTGCACAGACCTGGGTGCACACATTAACAAAATACTAATCCTAACAAGAAACACAAGTATGTCACACGGACTTGAAGATATGACTTGGCTAAAAACTGCAAACTGCCACATTTGAAGGACAAACTTAACTCAAAAGATCAAACTACAATAATGATGTCACAGAACACTGCTGGGAAACTTACTGGTAGCATACACTAACTGAAAACTGCATTTCTATCCAAAACACTTACTTCCTGTTAGAAGAGCAGCCACAGGTCTGTAGCCCGATAATGAACGGCACATGTGTGTTAACGACAGAGGTCTCTTGAGGTTTTCATGATAAAGGTTTTCTCATAAAACCGGGACATCGCACTACTACAAAGTGCTCTAGATATCACTTCCCCTCTTCTAACGGAGCTTACTGCACCAGCAACAGAGACATCCGTGCTCCTGGGGACCGGATGTTCTCGTCCCCCAGAATCACATCTGCTGAATCCCCACCCCTCAGTGTGATGGTGCCTGGAGGCGGGGCCTCAGGTCAGAAGGACGGAGCTGTTCCAGGGGGACCCCAGAGAGCTCCCTCACCCTCCCACCTAGGGAGGGCCAGCGAGAAGAGACCATCTGTGAATGAGAAACTAGAAACTGGCCATGCCAGTGCCTTAACCTTGGACTTCCTGGCCCCCAGGACTTTGAGAAAGAAATTTCTGTGGTTTACGAACTACCTAGTCCACAGTGTTTTGTTAATGCAGTCAAAAAAGACTGAAGTAACTACACCCACTAAAACAATTACATTCACATAGTCAAATCAGAGTCTAAAGTCCAAAGGAATTTTCAAAATGGCAATTCTTAGTCAACAGATTATGTATAAATAAAAATGACCTAAAATAAAAACAAAAGTAGCAACATCAAACCGCAAGGACAGTACTGAGTGTGAGGCCTCTGCCTCCGTCCAAATGAAGGAGCTCAGTACACACCTTTCCTAAGCTCTCGTCATCTGCGCTCAACACAACTTACACAGGCCATCAAGTGCAAGACCAATACCTACTTACAGAAATATATTAATATCCCGCTTAAAATAATGTTAAGATATAGTATCATGTTATCAATTATATCCCATTATAATTATAAATTACAATCAGTAGCAATTTAGTTACAGACAAATTTTAATGAGCTAACATGGAATACCTGAAATTTTCTTCATCTTCATTATCACTTTGTAAAAGATCATCATTCAGCTCTTCATCTGATAAATCCGACTGATTCTAATTAAAATAAGAAATGTAATTAGTGCATGCCGCTCCCATAAAAAGACCCGTTACAAATGTGCAAAGTTACACTGGCTGGCTGTTTTCTCACCTTGTTATTAGAACCCATTCCTGCTCCGATAGAACCCGCTGAATCACATACGCACAGCTGTCTCCCCAGACACATCTCACATGCGGAGTGAGCAAGGAGAGAAACGACAAGTCTGGGGCACCAGGGGGGCTCAGTCAATTAAGGATCCAGCTTGAGCCCAGGACCTGATCTCTCAGCTCATGAGTTTGAGCCCCTCATCGGGCTCTCTGCTGTCAGCACAGAGCCCACTTCGGATCCTCTGTCCCCACCCCCACCTGCCCTGCCCCTTCCCCACTCACATGCTTTCTCTCGCAAAAATAATCTCTCTCAAAAATAAAAATTTTGGGTTTTAAGAAACAACAAGCCTAATAATCACATTTATTCTAAATCCAACGAAAAAGGAAAAGGGAAGAGTCCTTTGGGAATATCCGACAAATATTTTTTTGTATACCTTTAATATTTGACTAAATTTTATTTCACTTGTATGTGGAACTTAAGAAACAAAACAAACAGGGGTGCCTGGGTGGCTCAATCAGTTAAGCATCTGACTCTTAACTTCAGCTCAGGTCATATGAGTTCGAGTCCCACATCGGACTCTGCGCTGATGATGTACAGCCTGCTTGGCATTCCATCTCTCCTTCTCTCTGTACTACCCCTCTCTCAAAAAAATTTTTTAAAACTTTAAAAAAAGAAACAAGGGGGGAAAATGAGAGAGACAAGGAACAGACTCTTAGCTACAGTGAACACGGGGACGGCTGAGGGCCAGGGAAGCAGGTGACGGGATGCAGAGCGCACCTGCTGTGACGAACATGAGTGATGTATGCCAGTGCCGACTCACTGCACTGCACTGCACACCTGAATCTAGTATAACCCTGTATGTTAGCAGAAATTCAAATAAAAACTTAAGAAAGACTTGACTAAATTTAACAGTATCCAAAATCTGAAGGTTTTTTTAAACAAAAAAAAAAAAAGTGGAATTTTAGAAATAAGCAGATTTTAAATACCTGGATCACCAGATTGAAATGGTAAGGAAATAAAATAAAACTGGTCTGTCCAACAGAGATGACACGTGAAAACAGCATGCCTAGCCCGGGTCCCAGCCCTGCTCCTAAAAGGGCTGCGTGCTCACCACACCGGTGGGCAGAGGCACCCTAGTGTTTCAACGGCTCAGCTTTACACACCCAGGGTCGTTCCGTTACATACACACCAGTGCCTTACACTCAGGCGGGGGGGCGGGGGGGGTTCTTCACACCCTCCTTCCCTAGTCCAAGTACTTTCGTGGTACACACAAACTACTATCCCCTCAAAAGAAGCCCCTCGAACACATGCGTTATGAAAAAAAAGTAAAGACAGAGAAAAAGAAAAAGACTTAATTTTCTAAAGATGAAACCAGCAAGCAGTCTTTTCCTAACATTTTATAGCTTGTAAAAATAGCTTTTTCCAACTTGTCTATACACTCTTCATTGTAGTATTTCTGACATAAGCAAGAAAATATGAATTTCAGTAGTCCTTGCTCGTCTCAAGGAACTCTAACTAATGGCTGACACAGTAACAAGACAAAAAAAAACCTAACTCAGGCCCATAGTTTACTTGAAGGGAGGGTGGATCTGTATGAAAAAGAAATAGACTGCTTAACAGCCAAAATCAAGTTTTGCTTCGTTGCCCACAGAATCCGTCCTCCCCCAAAGGAGACGAGCCAGGCCTGCCTAAGTGCGGCTGCCCAATTTACTAAGTAAAACCACAGAAAATCTTTAAAAATTAACAATTCAGTGAAAGCCAAGTTACATTCTATAAGAGGCTGCTTCTTTGAGTTTTTTAAAATTTTAAGTACTTGTCAAAACTCCGTGAACCAATAAACAATTCACCAAACACACACAAAGTGGAATATACGCTGTGACGGGCCCTGGCGGCAACCAGCCGCTACCTGCGGGTCTGAGTGCGGTAAGTGACGCGCACGGGAGCGAGGGCCCAGCACCCACTTAGCTGGCAGAGCAGGGGCGGAGAGCTACTGCATCCCAAAGAACGGGGCCACCCGCGTGCTTCCTGAGAAGAGGGTGGAATGGCTGGAGGACTCCAGACTCTGTTCTGGGCGCTCCGCAGAGGGCAGGGCACGCCCCCCAGCCAGTGCGAGAAGGGGCAAGAAGGGGCTCGGAATGCTACGGGAGTCCCTCAGAACCAGCAGCACCCCCCCATCCGGGGGAGACAAGAGGAAAGAAAAAGCTGCGCCGGCACCCCCAGAAGGCGGATCTGAGCCTGCGGACCAGAGTCGGCCTGGGGCACGGCTGCCAAGGTACCGCAGAGCTGAAAGGGAGTCACAGGCTGGCCGGCGCCCGGGCCCCAGAGCCCCCCACGTCCCAGAGCTCCAGCTGGGCCCCACCGGCCGGCTTCATTCTGGAGTCGGCCAACCTTTCCTTTCTGTCCTAGGTTTGAAACTTGACTCTAACGGTCTCCCTTCTTGACACCAACGAACTTGTGCTTGGCTGCCCCTGTCCGTCTGACACGGCCCCGTTAGTCGGTACGTGCCTGTGCAGCCCTCCGGCCCCCCAGCCCAGGAGCCTGCCTCTCTCTCTCTCTCTCTCTCTCTCTCCCCCCCAGATGAAGCTACATCTCCCTACGTTTCGTGGGGACTTGAGTGGGGGTGACACAGTGCACCTGTAACAACGAATTCTTAACTACACACCCAGCAAAATATTCCTTCTCACTAGACACCAAACAAATACAATGTAAACTAACTAGAAGTCGCTCTTCATCTACCTGCCGGACAGAGTTTAAAGGACACGTGATGGCAGAGCTGGGAAATGGGGGGGGGGCGGCGGGGAGAGGACTGGGCAACGCCCCGATGCACACACCCTCAGGCCAGATTCTCCCGGCCCGAAACGCTCAAAGACAAGAATTTCAAAAGCACAGTAACCCGTGTACGTTAAAATATCATCATGGGGAGCCCGGGCGGCTCCGTCAGGCGTCTAACGCTTGATCTCAGCTCAGGTCATGATCTCACAGGGCCCTGGCCGGGCTCTGCGGCGAAAGCACAAGGCCTTGCTTGGATTTCTCTCTTCTCGAAATAAACTTTTATACACACACACACACGCGCGCACACACACACACACACACACACACACACACTATGCTAATGTCTGAGACTCACTTCAAAATAATTCAGGAAGCGGAGTGGGCAACGCCGAAGCAACCGCCTTGCCCTGAAGCCCGCAGAGCCAGACGCCCGCGCAGGCAGGTACCTGCTACTCGGCTCCCCTGTCTTTCACACGTGCTTCCCAGTGCTCAGGAAAAGCTGGGCTTATTTTGAAGTCACAGCAGTGAGCCAGAAACCACCTCAGTGAACGGAGGAACGGCTGTATACGCTACAGCGTGCACACACAAAACCATTACGTGGCCATCATAAAATGAGACCCGCTGAAGGACAAGGGGAACATGCCAAGGACACGATGCTAAATTAAAAAGCAGGGTCTTCGTAGATAATATTAAGTTATGCTTCAAAACATATGGAAAACAATATAAGAAACATGGCAAAATGTCAGCCATTGGGGCTTATATCTATTTTTTTCATTATTTCTTTTTCAATACATTTGCGCTCTTGGATTCCTACAAGGTACACCGCTAGGAAAGGAGAGAGTACATACGCTGTTCCAAAGTAAACTTCCAAACCGGCCGAAATGGAGGAGGGCCCTGCTACTGAGACAGAAAGCATCCGGCTGCCACCCTCACGCATTCCTCCTCCATCAGAAAGGAGACCGAGGGGTGCCCAGGTGGCTCAGTTGGTTAAGCATCCGACTTCAGCTCAGGTCATGGTCTTGCCTTGTTCAGGGGTTCGAGCCCACAGTGGGCTTGGGCAGAGCCCATTTCCAATCCTCTGTCTCTCTCTCTCTCTCTCTCTCTGCCCCTCCCTTGTGCATGAGCTCTCTCTCTCAAAAATAAACATTAACAAAAAGACAAAAACAAAGGAGACCGAGTCATACAAATTAACTAATCCAATAAGATAAAGTGAGACTACACCCCCAGAATGGTCAACATTACTATCCACACCAAATAACACTTTTCCATCTTTATTGAAGAGACCAGACCAAACTTCTCATCAGATGGAGACAAATGATGGGGGAACCAAAAGCAGTTTTTAGGGCTGGTAGGACCTCCTGATAGAAACACAGGGCAAACGGGGCGCCTGGGTGGTTAAGCGTCCAACTTCGGCTCAGGTCATGATCTCATGATTCGAGGGTTCGAGCCCCACGTAGGGCTCTGTGCTGACAGCTCAGAGCCTGGAGCCTGTTTCGGATTCTGTGTCTCCTTCTCTCTCGGACCCTCCCCTGTTCATGCTGTCTCTCTCTCTCTCTCTCTCTCTCAGATATAAATAAAAAAAACAATTAAAAAAAAAAAAAGAAACACATCCTGGCTAGCCCAAGGATGGAAATCCAATTTCACGTAAAAAATACCTTACTACATCTAAATATTTTCACATCCAATTAGTATTATTCTCTCAAGTATCTGAAATAATTACAAAGGAAAAAACGTGTTTTTACATTAAGGTGGTGAACTCCCAAGTACAGTAAGAGCATTTCAAAGATGTGGAAATTAATTCACTGAGTCTGAAAGAAAACAGTAGCACTTTTTCTCTGTGACCATGACACACTTTTTCTCTGTGACCATGACACAGCAAGCACAGGAGCCCAAGTCACACCCTGAGGCCAGAGCCTGAGACTCTCAAACATGGATGGGCTGAGGCACAATCTCACTGGTTTTTCACTTCCAATATTTTGATTTTTCCCCATTTACTTACATCGGATCATGTGGATTTATAGTAACTACATTAATTCTTACTTAGAGTTACAGGTGATGAGAGCCACTTAAATGAGGAAAAGTTGAGGTAGACTGAAGCCAGGCAACTTGTAGGCCAATAATGCAGTAAGAAACAGGACAGAGAAAGGAAAGTGGCTTTAAAAGAATCCTACAACAAATTCACATAAGAGCAAAAAAGCTAATAATGCAACATAATAAGTTACAAGAAAATGGCAACACTGTTACTTTCTTCTAGAAGATCTTCATCTACTATACTATAAATGAGTATAAAAAGAAAATATAATCAATCAGATCTGATATATCAAATAACGTGACTTTATCACTTAAAAGTATAATGAGCTTATTTACATGTAAGAACAATGGACAATTAGAAGCCACCACAATCTTAAAACTTTAAAAAACTAAGCACAGGGCGCGTGGATGGCTCAAGTTAGCATCTGACTTCAGCTCAGGTCATAATCCCATGGTTCGTGAGTTCAAACCCCGTATCACAGCTCCAGGTTGGAGCTCAGCGTGGAGACTGCTTGGGATTCTTTCTCTCCTCAATCTGTCCCTCTCCCACTTGTGCCCGCTCTCAAAATAAATTTTAAAAAAAAAACTGAGCATAAAAAACTACCTTGATATTTAGAAAGAACAGCCAAGTGTTTTTAATTCTTAATAAATTCTTAAAAATTTAGCATTTCTGGGGCACATGGGTGACTCAGTCAGTTAAGCATCCAACTTCAACTCAGGTGATTATCTCAGGGTTCATGTGCAGACAGCTCAGAGCCAGGAGCCTGCTTTGGATTCTGTGTCTCCCTCTCTCTGCCCCTCCCCTGCTCACATTCCAGGTCTCTCTCTCTCTCTCTCAAAAATAAATATTCAAAAAAAAAAAGAGAATTCAAATCACACCACGTGGATGTGCATGCAGCCCCCGGCAGCGCACTCCACGCAGGAGACGGCCCCCTCTGTGCTAAGCGCAGTGAAGCACCTGCAGGTGGGTTTCCACGAGACCTTGACTGCTTACCTTTTTGCCAGACAGCAAGTCTTCTCCAAGTAAGTCATCTTCGAGTTCACTGGGGAGAAAAAAACAGGCAGCTCAGTGCATTACCCCTACAGCGTGCAGGTCTGCAGGTCACTGGGAGACTAGCTGTGACTTGGGGCGGGGGCACTGTCCCATGCAGGTCGCTATGCCTTCCTGTCCCTTCCCTAGTAATGAAAACGTCCGTCCAAATACGAGGGCACCTGTGGTCTCTTCAGAGCGGGGCGGGGGGGGGGGGGCCCTCTGCAGGAGGCGGCTCCCACAGACCTGGGTCCCCCGGGTTTCAGGTCAGCGGGAGGTGTGCACTTGCCGGACCTGCTTCGTAAGCCGGAAAGGAAGACTAAAACAGGGAGCACCTGGGCCTTTCCCTGCCTTAAAAACACCTACGACGAAGTAAGAAAAGACGCCCAACATTATTAACCAGGAAAATTAAACGCAGACCAGAGAGCCCATCTGAGGCTCACAGCACTGCAGCAACCGAAGAGCCGCGGAGGGCGATGCTGACGAGCACGCACGAGGAAGCCACGGCGACTGCGAGCGCGCTCGGACGCTCTCGGTGAGCGTGGCACGCTCCCAAGGGACTGGCACGGTTAGCTCAGAAAGCTTTACTAGACCCGAAAGCTAAAGATGCTCCCCGCGGCATGGGTTTTGCTGGTCGGCTGGCTGGTGGAGAAGACAGCCACCCCTGAATCACATTCTGGGTTCTGGGGAACCCACGGTCTACAGAACAAATGCCTTTTAAGGACAACATCTAGAAGGAGAAAATCAGACTGCATTTCTTAGGTGCAAATGCACCAATGTTCTTATTAGGGCTGTTACTCTTTTGTATCAGCACTCTGGTTACAAATTTCTGTAAGTTCTGTAGGTTTTAAGCATTATTTTACCCAAAAACCGTGTTTACTGCAATGTGCTACTTTGCAGAACAGCAGGATACCAAGAATGCAGGAGTTACTACAGGAACGGGTGTTTCTATGTACTTTTAGAACTAGAAACAACTCGAGAAATCCTTTCACTCATGCACTGAACACCTTTTTTGTTATCTCAGGTGACCCTGTATAAATCCTTTACCTTCATATTATAGATGAAGAAAACAGGGCCAAGCAATTAAACAACCTGCCCGACATCACCCAGCAACGGGAGACCCGGGACAAGAGCTGGCCCGCGGGGACTGTCGCCGGCCTGTGTGACTAGACAGATGTGACAGAGAACCACCGCACTCCCTCCGACACTCCCACAGACCACTTAGTCGCCTCTCAGACACGACGTCTGCATGTCTGTGCTACAGTCACGCTCTCTGGGTGACAAAAACACGGGCCCCAGTCACAACACTGACAAGAACACACTTGAGAACTGATTCTAGACCAAAACATACATACACTCGCCCCTCTGAAGCCAAGCCTCCCGCTAGGCCGTCGCTCTGACAAAATGAAAGGTGACACGCTCTGCCTAGGGGACACTGAGAATGCCTAAAACCATAATACAAAAAGGAGCTGGTAATTATACAAACAAAAATCTAGAAACTACCCGTACCTTCTGCTAACAAAAGATGTAATATGGAAGGAAATCGGTCTATTTTTCCTAAACAAAAGCATTTTTAAAAAGATAAAGGAAAACTGACAGTTATAAATGAGTGGAGAGTACACAGATGGAAAATAGTTGCTTCCATGACTAACAAAGACAACGGCGTGAAATAAGAAAGCAGGATGGGAGACAGAAGGATTAAGCCCACACGACCACAACAGACACAAATTATAGCTCGAGAAGTCATGAAATCAATATATTCCGTGCCAGGAGCCATGTGGTTCCCATGTATCAGCTTTCTCGCTGACATAACAACCCCACTACATAGATGTTTATATCATCCCCCAGTTTTTTAAATGTGAAAACAAAGACAATGAGATGTTAAATCATCGGCTCAAGGTCACCCAGCTAGGAAGTGGTGACATCAGTAGGTGAACCGAGACGGCCTAGCTCTGGAGTCCAAATCCTATCCACTAACACACCTCCACCTCCACCAAAAGTAAGTGCATTTCCCTACTGTCATCAAGTAGGATCCTTACAAAAGATGTACACAAAAAGAAGGAAATTTATAAAATACAAAGCACTACCAAAATTACACCGTCACCAAAAGCAGTGAACCAGCAAGAGCGCCAAGCCCAGTCAATCCTTTCAGAGAGATGCTCTTTATCGCTGCGGCCGGGGGACCAGGGGGCCAGCAGGACGCGCAAGGGTCAGTCCTCCTACTGCCAGGAAGCCCGCGGCCGCAGACGAGAGCAGGGGCGGCACGGCCACAGGGCAGGGAGGCCCGTCTGGGCACGGCCCCGAAGGCCAGCCTTTGTGGGAGTGCTTCCCGTGCAAAGTGCAACGTGCTGGGAAAGTAGAGGCTGAAGGCCAACAGGCAAATTCTGCCGTCAGGAAGTGCATCAGCGTCCAGCTGATCGGGAACGGCAAAATCATCACAGCCTTTGTACCCAAAGATGGTTGGTCGAATTTTATCAAGGAAAATGATGCGGTTCCAGTTGCAGGATCTGGTCACAAAGATCATGCTATCGGTGACATTCCTAGAGTTCGCTTTAAGGTCGTCAAAGTAGCCAATGTCTCTCTTTTGGCCTCATTCAAAGGCAAGAGCAAGAGCCTAGGTTTTGATGATGAAAACATGACAATAATAAAGTTTCATATACCGAAAAACTAGGACTAAAACACCGAAGAGACAAGCAGTTGCGCCCCCACCGACAATGGCAGCTGTGTGGGCAAAGGAGAGGAGCACAGGGCTGGGTAGGGAGGGGCCTGCCTTCAACCTCCAGACTCCCTCGGGCTCTCACCAATCATCACTCTCACAGTGTTTCCTATAAAAGATTAGAGACAATCAGCTCTTGGAGAGCAGGTATTCTTTTCTATTAAATGAGCAGGGTGCTTGGGTGGCTCAGTTAAGCAGCCGGTTCAGGCTGTGACCTCACGGTTCGGGAGGTGGAGCCCCGCGTCGGGCCCCCTGCACAGAGCCTGCTCAGGGTCCTCTGTCATCTCTCTCTCATGCTCGCTCGCTCTCTTAAAACCAAACGCAAAAAGGAACCTAATAAGTAGGTGTACGCTGAAAGATATTTTAAGAAACAAGTATTCTGAAGTCAGCCACTTGGCCGCAGCCTTTCCAAACCAGAAGTAAGGGAGGACAAGCAGTGCGCTATCTGGGCGCCTCCTCGCTCCAGGCCACGCCCCTCCCGCAGCTGCCCCCTCAGGTACTGGAGGGCTTCTCTGCGAAGGCGCGTGCAGGCTCTCCTGCCTTTGCTCCTTGGCCCAGGGGACGGCCCAACGGACTATTACAAAGCAGGAGAGGAAGCACCCCTCCCTCACATGTGCACAACCCAGCCCCGCCCGCGGCTAAGCACCGCAACCCCAAGCGGGCTCTAGGGGCCCCCTCTTCCCCATCAGGCCCGCTGCTACTCCCCGCACACCTCCCCAACTCAGGCTGCTTCTTTAACCCTCTCTGTAAAAGCCTCTTCAATCCAATGAGCTTCAGTTGAAGCCTTGAGAATGTGGTCTTTCTCCTGCACGGATACAGACTGATACAAGCACATCGTTGAAAAAGACTTAAATACTTCAAGTGTTGATTCAACAATGACATCACGTTCTTCCAAATATTTACCATTAATGCGACATGGCAGCAAGAGCTGATCGTAACAATTTCTGACTCACTCTTCCCCTTAACTTCCAAAGTTCTCCCTCCATCATCCACAGTACGTGGAAGAGGCTGTCCTATGCTTTTAAAGAAGGAAAGAAATACACATGATGCAGAAGCTCTGGACACAAACGCACACTGAGAACGAGCGAGGAGAGGAACTCGTTCATAAACGGCGCTGGGACAGCCGCCAGTCACCCCAGGGAGAACAAGAAGTGACGCCCTGTCCCAGAGCCGAGCCACAAGCTGATTCCCTCACGGCAGAGAGCCGGCTGACATCGGGACAACTGACGGTCCCCCTGAACAGACACTGAGCAAGTCAATATCAATGAAAACGGTAACTGCAGTGGATTAACACATACATGCAGCACTTCACTCTGTAGGCTGAAAATGATTCAGAAACAAAACCCCCCTTTGATGCTAAGGAACTGGCCCAATATTCTGAAAACTGCTAAATAAAAGTTAAGAATCAAGGGGCGCCTGGGTGGCTTAGTCGGTTAAGCATCCGACTTTCGCTCAGGTCATGAACTCACAGTTCGTGGGTCTGAGCCCTGCGTCGGGCTCTGCGCTGACAGCTTTCTCAGAGCCTGGAACCTGTTTCAGATTCTGTCTGTCTGTCTCTCTCACTCTCTGCTCCTCCCTGCTCATGCAGTCTCTCTCAAAAATAAATAACATTAAAAAACTGCTTTAAATAAATAAACAAAAGCCATACAGGCTTACACACAGATTATCCATTTGATTTTATTACTTATAAAAATCTACTTGAACGCTGCTGTTTGAGGGAACACAGGTCACAGCCTGAGAGAAGGGATCCCTAAGCACAAAAAATAAATCTCAGAAAGTATAACCAATCCCTAAAATCAGTAAGGAAAAGACGAACGACCCACGGGAAAAATATACACAGACAGGGCTAGACAGCTGGCAGAGGGAAAAATCCAAGTGGTAAGTAAACTACTAAAATATACCTTATACTTTACTCAGCTCCCCACCACCATCCTGTAAACAAAGCTGGTTATCAGCATTTCTGCAGGGGCAACTCTGTACAGGAGGTTCTGCTGCGGCTCTGCCCACGGCCACTGAAGAACACTCACTGTGACCCAGGCTCTAAGCGTGCACCGTGTACACTGTGCAGTGCAGACTGCGCTGGAAGTGTTCTGGGGCGTCGCAGGCTTCCAACGGCAATCAGGTTTCTTGTGACTGCAGAGCACCGTCGCCCTTCTCAGTTCAGACCCATTTACCTTTATACTAACCTTTCTGACTCCAGCCATAAGGTAAGGTTTTGTTTCCAACACAGTGTTTAAGACAGTAGGAAATGTGTAGAGAATAATCCTCATTCGAGAACCCCACCCCCAGACTAAGCCCCGTATACTTCTCAAGTCACGTCCGTCTCCTCCTAGAGCAGCTCGCCAGAAGTGATCACTAGAGGGACATGACACTTGTCACCACTACGAATACTTTAAATACTTCTAGACCATGTGAGTTCCTAAAGACAGTTTCATCTTTGCTACTAATCCAAGAAATAAACATTTAAATTATACATAATACTATTTTACACATATTAAATTGGCAAAGATGTTACAGTCTGACCAAATCTGGGTAGGATACAGAAGGAAAGGACTCGGGCACACGACCCCTCCAATAACAGCTCTGGGCGTCCACCGATCGATACCATCACCGCATATAAACACAGAGAGGGAAGACAACAGGCCTGAACAGGGGCCCAGCGGAAAGCTCCCCGCCCTCGCCGGGGCCCAGCAGGGACAGGCCCCCGCACGGCCCGGAAGCCCGCACCGTGCCGCACCTGTCCCAGTCGTCGTCCGCAGCTCTTCTTCTCCACGACCGCTCTGCACCCGGCTTATCAAACTGGTCAAAGTCATCATCTGTGAAAGAGAAGCCACAAAAGTCAGTCTTACTAAATTAACACAGACACACATATTCAAATACTGATGGTCCCTGACTTAACAATGGCTTAACTTCTATTTTCAACTTCACAACGGTGCAAAAGCAATACGCAGTCCATAAAAGCCACACTTCAAATTCTGAATCTGAGTCTTTTCCCAAGCTAGCAAGCAACATGCAGCCCGAAGCTTTCTCTCATGATGCTGGGCAGGGAAGGGCAGCAGCAGCAGCTCCCAGGAGCCACGGGATCAGGAGGATAAGCCAGCAAGGGAGTAACCACCATCTGTACCCAGACTGTTCTGTGTCACTTTCGGTACAGTATCCAATACACTACATACACTGGTCAACACTTTATTATAAAATAGGTTTTGTGTCACGTGATTTTGCCCAACTGCAGGTCATGTGAACGTGTGAGCACATTTAACGTAAGCCAGGCTAAGCCATAATGGTAAGTTAGGTATATTAAACGCATTTTCAAATTAACAATATTTTCACCTTATGACAGGCTTATCAGGACATAAGCCCATCGTAAGTTGAGGAAGATCTGTACTGAACCAACTTGTTTCTTTCAAGGACTCCTGAAATGACATTTTAGGATGTAGAAGTTCTGGCTCTCTGTTCCCCCGTTTGTCAGAAGGCCACTTCTTGTGCAGTGAGCGCTGCACCCCTGAGACACAACAGTGAAGGTCTACATGTCCCACTGATTCTGCCCAGGGCAAGTTCAACGCACAGTCAAGGCTAAGAAGGGGGAAACTCGCCCTCAATGGAAAGCCCATCTCCATCGTCTGGGAGCGAGATCCTGTCAACATGAAGTGGGGTGGCTGCGCTGATGCTGAGTCCACTGTGAGCTCCAGTGGTATGTTCACCACTGTGGAGAAGGCTGGGACTAAGCTGCAGGGTGGAACCCAGAGGGTCAGCATCTCAGCCTCTTTTACTGACGTCCTGTGTTTGGGATGGGCATGAGCCATGAGAAGCATAACAACCCCTCAAGCTTGTCAGCAATGCATCCTGCACCCCCACCTGCTTACTCCCTCTGGCCAAGGTCATCCAGGACAACTTTGGCACTGTGGAAGGACTCATGCCCACAGTCCATGCCATCACTGCCAACCAGAAGGCCACTCCTGATGGCCCCTCTGGGAAGCTGTGGTGTGCTGGCTGTGGGGCTGCTCAGAACATCACCCCTCCTCCTTCTGGTGCCACCAAGACTGTAGCAAGGTCAACCCTGAGCTGAACGGGAAGCTCAATGGCATGGCCTTCCGTGTCACCGCTCCCAACCTGTCAGTCATGGATCTAATGCCACCTGGAGAAAACTGCCAAATACAATGACATCAAGAAGGTGATGAAACAGGCCACTGGGGGGCATCCTGGGCCCCACAGAGGACCATGTCATCTCCTGTGACTTCAACAGTAACACCCACTTTTCCACCTTTAATGCTGGGGCTGGCACTGGGGCTGGCACTTTGTCAAGCTCCTTTGCTGGTATGACAATGATTCTGACCACAGCAACTGAGTGGTGGATCTTAAGGTCCACATGGCTTTCACAGAGTAAGAGCCCGCTGACCACCAGCCCCAGCAAGGGCACAAGAGGAAGGGAGCCCCTCAGGGGCTAGGGAGTCCCTGCCCCCAGCTCACCCCCCAGCACACTGAGGATTTCCTGACCGCCACAGTTTCCATCCCAGACCCCTTGAAGAAGGGGAAGGGCTTAGGGGACCCTACCTTGTCACGTACTACCGTTAAGTACACAGCACCCAAATGAACGAATGAATGAATGAAGAAAATACAGAAGTTCCACAAGCAACTATTATAAACGCTTTTGCTGTTTATAATTTTTAAAAATTAGGTACAAAGTTACTGAATACCATTAAGCATGAAAAATCACCGACAGACTAGAATTTTTTTAATCCTAAATTTTAGTAAGGTATTTTCTTTACAAAATAATTTTTCAGTATATATTTTTACTACAACTACATGAAAAGGAAAAACTTCTGCTTTGCTAAAAATTAAAGATATGGGTTTTATGGGGTTTTTTTAATATTTTTATTTATCTCTAGGAGGGGGGGGAGAGAAAGAGGGAGACAGCGTGAGCAGGGGAGGGTCAGAGAGAGAAGAGAGGGAGATACAGACTCCGAAATAGGCTCCAGGCTCTGAGCTGGCAGTCAGCAGAGCCTGACGCGGGGCTCGAACCCACGAACCGCGAGATCATGACCTAAGCGAAAGTCGGACGCTCAACCAACTAAGCCACCCAGGCGCCCCTAAGATATGCTTTTTAAGCTTATTTATTTGGAGAGGGAGAGAGAGAGAAGGACAGAAAGAGAATCCGAAGCAGGCTCTGCACTGTCACTACAGAGCCTGACACAGGGTTCAATCACCTGGAACCATGAGATCACGATCTGAGCCAAAATCAAGAGTCAGACACTTAACCAAATGAGCCACCCAGGAGACCCAAAGATACTTTTATAATACTCTGTGTATGTTTACATTTTTCCAAATTAACCACAGAAAACAAAGACCCTGTTTAAAGGAAATAGTGATAACAGAGAACTGAACAACAGAAATAAAATCCAAGTCACGTATATATTTTCAGGTAGCCACATTTTAATGTGGCTTTTTTGAGAGAGAGAGGGCAAGCGAGAGAGAGAGAGCACACGCACAAGCAGGGGAAGAGGCAGAGAGGGAGACACAGAATCTGAAGCAGGCTCCAGGCTCTGAGCTGTCAGCACAGAGTCTGATCAGATACATTTTAAAAAGCAAAAAGAGGGGTGCCTGGGTGACTCAGTCAGCTGAGCATGCAATTCCTGAGTTCAACTCAGGTCATGATCTCACCATTCATGAGCTCAAGCCCTGCACGGACTGGGGATTCCCTCTTCCCCTCTCTCACTGCCCCACCTACATTCATGCAAGCACATACATTCTCTCTATAAATTAATAAACATTTTAAAAACATAAAAAGCAAAAAAATACCCCAAAACTTTAATAGATGAAATTTTAACAACATACTTTATTTAACCTAGTATATCCAAAGTATTATATAGCATGTAATCAATACAGAAAATATTTATAAGACATTTTACATTTTTCCCATACCAAGTGTATGGTATTTAAAACTTTGTTAGGAAAATCAAAAAATTGGAATGACATTCTTCCTCTTAGATACACATGCAAGCAAAGAGGCTTGAGAACTAGCAGATACCTCCTCAGAGAGAATCTACCTAAGGGAGTCAGAGGATAAAAATACCAATAAATCCCCAGGAATGTTTCTAGACTAGGGCCAGAAATTAGCCAATCAAGTTCTAACAAGGTAATAATACATCGATTCCAGTTGGAAGAGAAAAGCAACCCTTAGAACAGAGAGTCCCCAAACTCTCTCAGAGGAGCTGGTTTCACCTGGAATAGAGTGCAACAAGAGTTCTGACCAAAAGGTGCGCTCAGGACGTGAGACTTCTGGAGAGTCATTGAGAAGAGCGTAAGAGCCACTGGAGACAAAGGCTGACCTGTACAGGGTGCCTAGTGTGCCAGAAAGAAACGGAGAGACCGGTGGGAAGGGCCCACTGGGGTTAAAACAGATCTTCAAACACCGACCGCAGACACCATTCAAAGGAGCCTGGAATTTAATATGATCAGTTTACAAAGCAATTCGCACCCAGGACGCTGAAGATGTGATCAGAGAGAAAGAAATGAGCAGGGCCAAACCACCGCCATGGCAGGGGGACTACGGGCGTGCCCAAGGCAATGGCCTTGAGGAGTGTCATCAGAAGCTTCACCCTGCTCAGCGCGGAGTGGAGGATGGAAGTCTTCACTGACAACCTAGCCAGTCGTCAAACAAGTAAACAAGCAAATCACTAATAAACCCAGAGGCGGGGAGTAAGGAGATCAGCACCCCAAGTGGACACACACATGATCTAAAATGTTCAGTTGCCAACAAGAAATTACAAGAAACGCAAAGAAACAGGAAGCATAACCCATACAAAACCCGTCAGGAAAAAAGGCAGGCAACAAAAAGGCCTACATGAGGCAGTATGGATAAGAGGGCTCACCAAGGAATGTGCTATCCACAGGGGAAGAGTGGAAGTCAACCAGAAGAAGACAAAGCAGAGAGGTAAAATTAAAACAACAGTCCTCTAACTAGGCAATAAGAAGAGCTATAACTAGTATTGTTCTTTCTCCTGACATGGGAAAATGTCTACAATTATGTAATGTGGGAGAAAAAGTCCCACAATATCATGCATTATAATACACCATTTTATACATAAAACAGACGTGTGCACGTGTGTCTGGAAGGTATGAGCAAACGTGCTAATAACAGTTACCTTTCTGCATGGGATTAATTATAGACTGGCTTCTATATTCTTCCTTACGGTTTTACAAAACCTGTTTTCTTAGAGTAACAACTTGTCCTTACCAAAGTAATAACCAGCTTAGTATAAAACTTCTTCCAATACCTGAAAGTACAAAGACAGTATTAAAATCACCCCAAATTTCTCTGATCAGAAGTAGCGATCATAACCTCAGGCAAACACTATTCCCAAAGCTCACCTACGCACACATCCGAACACAGAACGCGCAAACTACCATAGGATGGATGCGACAGGATGTGTTCAACCAAGTATGAAATTCACACTATTTAAGTTTCTCAAAAGCCACTGAAGTAAAATCAATGGAATGACTGAATTCAAGTAAAAATTTCTTCAACCCAGGAGGTATTTTGAGGGTAATTTCCAGCCCTCCCCCCGAGCCCCCAAAAACACACATGGCACTGGGGGCTGAGGAGAGCGAAATCTGGTGTTACACACCGGGAAGTAATGGACAGAAAGTCTAAGCAGTAACCAGATTTCGGCCAAGCGGATGGGCAAACGGGGAAACCAACACATGGGCTGAGAAGTGCCATGCAAGCCCAGGAGACCGTGAGCAGTTCAAGTTCGGTGCGTGTGAAACACCGGTCACAGAGAGAAGCAACAGGAAACTAAACGCTGAGAAGGTAGAT